TATTTTTATTATATATATATAAGTAAGAAAATATACAGAAAAAATTGTTTTACTCGAAGCAGCTGTGGCCAGTGGTTAAAGGCGATGGACTAGAAATCCGATGGGGTCTCCCCACGTAGGTTGAATCCACCATTGCGAAGTTTTAAATAACGGGCCGCAGAAATTTTTTCTCACTGATGTTTTTAAATATATATATATAATTGCACCTTTAAAAAACACAGAAATGTTAAAAATGTGGATTTACAGAATTGCCATATTTATATTACATATCATAAACTGTACACAGCGTTGGGGCCTAATGGTTAAGGTGATGGACTTGAAATACATTGGGGTCTCCAAGCGTAGGTTCGTTTTCTTCCGGATGCGAATTGTACTATTTTAGAATGTTTTAAAAAAACACGTCATGTCTTTTTTTGCACAGAATGTTCCCTGAATTTCAAAAGCCATTATTCAGTTTTAAAACTTGGACCATTTTACTATAATTATAAATTTGAGTAAGAAAATATACAGAAAAAAATTGCTTTCCGCTCGAAGCAGCTGTGGCCGAGTGGTTAAGGCGATGGACTAGAAATCCATTGGGGTCTCCCCGCGTAGGTTCGAATCCTACCGGCTGCGAAAGTTTTAAATAACGATTATAGAAATTTTTTCTTCACTGATGTTTTAAATATATATATATAATTGCACCTTTAAAAAACACAGAAATGTTAAAAATGTGGATTTACAGAATTGCCATATTTATATTACATATAATAAACTGTACACAGCGTTGGGGCCTAATGGTTAAGGTGATGGACTTGAAATACATTGGGTTCTCCAAGCGTAGGTTCGTTTTCTTCCGGATGCGAATTGTACTATTTTAGAATGTTTTAAAAAACACGTCATGTCTTTTTTTGCACAGAATGTTCCCTGAATTTCAAAAGCCATTATTCAGTTTTAAAAACTTGAATATATTTTACTATAATTATAAATATGAGTAAGGAAATATACAGAAAAAAATTGCTTTCCGCTCGAAGCAGCTGTGGCCGAGTGGTTAAGGCGATGGACTCGAAATCCGGTAAGGATACTCCCCACGTAGTTCGAAATCCCTACCAGCTACGGGGCTGTGCCATTTTGGGAATGTTTTAAAAAAGATATGTCTTTTCTTGCAGAATGTTCCCTTAATTTCAAAAGCCATTATTCAGTTTTAAATACTTGAATATATTTTACGGTAATTATAAATTTGAGTAAGAAAATATACATAAAAATTGCTTTTACTCCCGCGAAGCAGCTGTGGCCGAGTGGTTAGGCGATGGACTAGAAATCCATTGATACTCTCCGCGTAGGTTCCGAATCCTACCGGCTGTGAAAGTTTTGCATGGCTGATTATAGAAATTTTTTCTTCACTGATGTTTTTAAATATATATATATAATTGTACCTTTTAAAAAAACAGAAATATTAAAGTAACTGGATTTACAAATTGCCATATTTATATTACATATCATGAACTCTACCACACGGCGTGTGGACTAATGTGGTTAGGCGATGGACTTGAAATACATTGGTCTCCCGCGTAGGTTCGTTTTCTACCGGATGCGAATTGTAGTATTTTAGAATGTTTTAAAAAAACACGTCATGTCTTTTTTTGCACAGAATGTTCCCTGAATTTCAAAAGCTATTATTCAGTTTTAAAAACTTGAATATATTTTAATATAATTATAAATTTGAGTAAAAATATGCAAGCAAAATTGCTTCTCGACACCCGGTTGTGGCCGAATGGTTAAGGCGATGGACTAGAAATCATTGGGAGCTTTCGCGTAGGTTCGAGATCCTACCGGCTGCGATTTTAAATTTAGAATATGCTTTAAAACGAGCCTAATGTCTTTTTTCAGCAGAATGTATCCACAGATTTCATTAGCCTTTATTCAGTTTTAAGTTTGAAGATATTTTACTGTAATTATACATCGAAGTTAGGAAATCTACATAAAAATTTCATTTAAGCTCAGGCAGCTGTAACCAGTGGTTAAGGCGATGGACTCGAAATCAATGGAATGCTACGTGGTTTCGAATCCTACCGGCTGCGATTGCAATTTTAGAATGTCTTAAAAAAAGAAATGTCTTTTCTTGCACAGAAAGTTCCTATTTCAAAAGCCATTATTCAGTTTAAATACTTGAATATATTTTACGGCCAATTATATAAATTTGACAGAAAATATACATAAAAAATTGCTTTTTACTCGAAGCAGCTGTGGCCGAGTGGTTGAGGGCGATGGACTAGAAATCCATTGGGGTCTCCCCGCGTAGGTTCGAATCCTACAGGCTGCGAAGTTTTTAAATAACGATTATAGAAATTTTTTTTCTTCACTGATGTTTTTAAACATATATATATAATTTTTAAAGCAAATATTAAAAATGTGGATTTACAGAATTGCCATATTTATATTACATATCATAGACTTCTTACACAGTGTGTGGCCTAATAGTTAAGGCGATGGACTTGAAATACATTGCAGGGTCTCCCATGAGTTCGTTTCTACCGGATGCAATTGTACTATTTTAGAATGTTTTAAAACACGTCATGTCTTTTTTGCACAGAATCGTTCCTGAGATTTCAAAAGCCATTATTCGGTTTTAAAAACTTGAATATATTTTTACTATAATTATAAATTTGATGTAAGAATATACGAAAAGTATATTCTCGACAGCTGTGTGAATGGTTAATTCGATGGACCAGGGAATTCCTTTGGGGCTTCCCGCGTAGGTTCGAAGATCCACTACCGGCTGCGATTTCAATCTAAAATTTAGAATGCTTTAAAAACGAGCTAATGTCTTTTTTTTCGTAGAGATATCCTGAATTTCATTAGCCTTTATTCAGTTTTAAGGTTTGAAGATATTTTTTACTGTAATTATACATCGAAGTTGAATCTACATAAAAATTTCATTTTGAAAGCTCGGAGCAGCTGTGGCCGAGTGGTTAAGGCGATGGACTTGAAATCCGTGGGGTCTCCCGCGTGAGTTCGAATCCTGCCGGCTGCAGATTGTAATATTTTAGAATGTTTTAAAAAACACGTAACGTCTTTTTTGCACAAGAATATTCCCTGAATTTCAAAAGCCATTATTCAGTTTAGAAACGGACGCCTATTTTATTATAAATATAGTAAATATCACAAGAAAAATTGCTTTCCGCTCGAAGCAGCCTGTGTGGCTGATGAACTAAGGCGATGGACTCGAAATCCATTGGGGTCTCCCCGCGTGGGTTTCCGAAGATCCTACCGGCACGCTGAAATTTGCGATGTCTTAAAAAAAAAGAAATGCCACTCTTGCACAGAAAGTTCCTGAATTTCAAAAAAGCCATTATTCAGTTTTAAATACTTGAATATATTTTACGGTAATTATAAATTTGAAGAAATATACATAAAAAAATTGCTTGCAGCGCAAGCAGCTGTGGCCAGTGGTTGAGGCGATGGACTAGAAATCCATTGGGGTCTCCCCCGCGTAAGGTTCGAGATCCTACAGGCTGCGAAAGTTTTAAATAACGATTATAGAAATTTTTTCTTCACTGATGTTTTTAAATATATATATATATATAATTGCACCTTTAAAAAACACAGAAATGTTAAAAATGTGGATTTACAGAATTGCCATATTTATATTACATATCATGAACTGTACACAGCGTGTGGGCCTAATGGTTAAGGCGATGGACTTGAAATACATTGGGGTCTCCCCGCGTAGGTTCGTTTTCTACCGGATGCGAATTGTACTATTTTAGAATGTTTTAAAAAAAACACGTCATGTCTTTTGCAGTGTTCTACGTTTCCAAAAGCCATTATTCAGTTTTAAAAACTTGAATATATTTTACTATAATTATAAATTTGAGTAAGAAAATATGCGAAAAATTGCTTCTCTGACGCAGCTGTAATACGAATGGTTAATTCGATGGACAAATTCGCTTTGGAGGCTTCCGCGTAGGTTCGAATCCTACCGGCTGCGATTTGTCTAAATTTAGAATGCTTTAAAACGAGCCCTAATGTCTTTTTTTCGTAGAATGTATCCTGAATTTCATTAGCCTTTATTCAGTTTTTAAAGTTTGAAGATATTTTACTGTAATTATACATCGAAGTTAGGAAATCTACATAAAAAATTTCATTTAGCTCGGAGCAGCTGTGGCCGAGTGGTTAAGGCGATGGACTTGAAATCCATTGGGGGTCTCCCGCGTAGGTTCGAATCCTGCCGGCTGCGAATTGTAATATTTTAGAATGTTTTAAAAAAACACGTAACGTCTTTTTTTGCACAGAATATTCCCTGAATTTCAAAATCCATTATTCAGTTTTAAAAATTTGAATATATTTTATTATATATATAAGTAAGAAAATATACAGAAAAAAATTGCTTTTTACTCGAAGCAGCTGTGGCCGAGTGGTTAAGGCGATGGACTAGAAATCCATTGAGATGATGCTCCACGTAAGGTTCGAATCTACCGGCTGCGAGAGTTTTTTAAATAACGATTATAGAATTTTTTCTCACTCATGTTTTAAATATATATATATATAATTGCCTTTAAAACACAGAAATGTTAAAATGTGGTTACAAATTGCCATATTTATATTACATACTTATAATAAACTGTACACAGCGTTGAGACTAATGGTTAAGGTGATGGACTTGAAATACATTGGGTTCTTGAAAGCGTAGGTTCGTTTCTTCCGGATACGAAGATTGTACTTTATTTTAGAATGTTTTAAAAAACACGTCATGTCTTTTTGCACAGAATGTTCCTGAATTTAAAAGCCATTATTCAGTTTAAAAACTTGAGATATATTTTACTATAATTGATACTCATAAATATAAGTAGGAAATATACAGAAAAAAATTGCTTTCCACTCAGAAGCAGCTGTAGCCCGAGTAGTTAAGGCGAATGAACTCAGAAATCCATTGGGGTCTCCCCACGTAGGTTCGAATCCTACCAGCTGCGATTTGTGCAATTTTAGAATGTTTTAAAAAAAGAAATGTCTTTTCTTGCACAGAATGTTCCCTGAATTTCAAAAGCCATTATTCAGTTTTAAATACTTGAATATATTTTACGGTAATTATAAATTTGAGTAAGAAAATATACATAAAAAAATTGCTTTTTACTCGAAGCAGCTGTGGCCGAGTGGTTAAGGCGATGGACTATAGAAATCCATTAAGGGGTCTCTCGCGTAAGGTTCGAGATCCTACCGGCTGTGAGTTTTAAATAACCGATTATAGAAATTTTTTTCTTCACTGATGTTTTTAAATATATATATATAATTGTACCTTTTAAAAAAACAAAGTATATTAAAAATAGTTTACAAATTGCCATATTTATATTACATATCATGAACTCTACACGTGTGGGCCTAATGGTTAAGGCCTGGACTTGAAATACATTGGGGAATGGATGTCTCCCGCGTAAGTTCGTTTTCTACCGGTCTGCGAATTGTAGTATTTAGAATGTTTTAAAAAACACGTCATGTCTTTTTGCACAGAATGTTCCTAATTTCAAAAAGCTATTATTCGGTTTTAAAAACTTAGACCTATATTTTAATATGACCACTAATTTGGTAAAAAATATACAGAAAAAATTGCTTTCTTCTCGACGCGGTTATTGGCCGAATGTGGTTAAGGCAGCGATGGACTGAAATCGCATTGGGGTGTGGGTTCGAATCCGGCTGCGATTTTTCTAAATTTAGAATGTCTTTAAAACGAGCCTAATGTCTTTTCTTTCGTAGAATATCATCCTGAATTTCATTAGCCTTTATTCAGTTTTTAAAGTTTGAAGATATTTTACTGTAATTATACATCGAAGTTAGGAAATCTACATAAAAAATTTCATTTAGCTCGAACAGCTGTGGCCAGTGTCTCGAAATCCAATGGATGCTCCCCGCGTGGGTTCGAATCCACCACCGGCTGCGATTTATTACAGTACAGAATGTCTTAAAAAAGAAATGTCTTTTCTTGCACAGAATGTTCCTGAATTTCAAAAGCCATTATTCAGTTTTAAATACTTGAATATATTTTACGGTAATTATAAATTTGAGTAAGAAAAATATACATAAAAATTGCTTTTTACTCCGAAGCAGCTGTGGCCGAGAGTGGTTGAGGCGATGGACTGATACATTAGGGTCTCCGCGTAGGTTCGAGAATCCTACCGGCTGCGAAAGTTTTAAATAACGATTATAGAAATTTTTTTCTTTACTGATGTTTTAAATATATATATATATAATTGCACCTTTAAAAGAACGCAATGTTAAAATGGGAATTTACAGAATTGCCATATTTATAATACATATCATGAACTGTACACAGCGTGTGGGCTAATGGAACAAGGCGATTTACTTGATATACATTGGGGTCTCCCGCGTAGGTTCGTTTCTACCGGATGTGGTGTACTGGCACTGGGAATGTTTTAAAAACACATCCATGTCTTTTTGCACAGAATTTCCTGATTTCAAAAGCCATTATTCAGTTTTAAAAACTTGAATATATTTTACTATAATTATAAATTTGAGTAAGAAAATATACAGAAAAAAATTAACAATATTTCTCGACGCAGCTGTGGCCGAATGGTTAATTCAAATGGACCCAGAATTCCTTTGGGGGCTTCCGCAGAGTTCCGAATCCTACCGGCTGCGATTTGTCTAAATTTAGAATGTAGCTTTAAACGAGCCTAATGTCTTTTTTCGTAGAATGTATCCTGAATTTCATTGCTTAACTATTCAGTTTTTAAAGTTTGAAGATATTTTACTGTAGCAATTACATCGGGGTGGAAATCATAAAATTTCATTTAGCTCCGGAGCAGCTGTGGCCGAGTGGTTAAGGCGATGGACTTGAAATCCATTGAGGTCTCTCCCATGAGTTCGAATCCTGCCGGCTGCGGGTAGCAATATTTTATTTTAAAAACACGTAACGTCTTTTTTGCACAGAATATTCCTGAATTTCAAAATCCATTATTCAGAGTTTTAAAATTTGAATATATTTTGGCTAACGCACCATATAAGTAAGAAAATATACAGAAAAAATTGTTTTTACTCAGAAGCAGCTGTGGCCGGAGTGGTTAAGGCGTGGGCTGAAATCCATTGGGGTCTCCCCACGTAGGTTCGAATCCTACCGGCTGCGAAAGTTTTAAATAACGATTATAGAAATTTTTCTCACTGATGTTTTAAATATATATATATAATTACCTTTAAAAAACACAGAAATGTTAAAATGTAGTTTGCAAATTGCCATATTTATATTACATATCTTAAACTGTGTACACAGCGTTGGGGCCTAATGGTTAGGTGATGGACTTGAAATACATTGGGGTCTCCAAAGCGTAGGTTCGTTTTCTTCGGATGCAATTGTACCTATTTTTAGAATGTTTTAAAAAAACACGTCATCTTTTTGCACAAGGGGTATTTCCCTGAATTTCAAAACTTATTTGTTCTGGTTTAAAGCGAATATATTTTACTATAATTATAAATTTGAGTAAGAAAATATACAGAAAAAAATTGCTTTCCGCTTAAGAAACGGCTGTGTGGCCGAGTAGGTTAAGCATTTGATGGACTAAGAAATCATTGGGGTCTCCCGCGTGAGTTCGAATCCTACCGGCTGCGAAAGTTTTAAATAACGATTATAGAAATTTTTTCTTCACTGATGTTTTTAAATATATATATATAATTGCACCTTTAAAAAACAGAAATTTAAAAAATTTGGGTTTACAAATTGCCATATTTATATTACATATAATAAAATTACACAGCGTTGGGGGCCCAATGGTTAAGGGATGGACTTGAAATACATTGGGGGCTCCCGCGTAGGTTCGTTTTCCCGGATGCGAATTGTACTATTTTAGATGTTTTTAAAAAAAACGTCATGTCTTTTTTCACGAATTTTGTTTCAAAACCTTTTTCAGTTTTAAAACGGATATATTTTACTAATTATAAATTAAATAAGGGAAATATACAAAAAAAATTTCTTTTTCCCCCAACGCTGTGGCCAGTGGTTAAGGCGAGGAAATCTCTTGGGGTCTCCCCCGTGGTTCGAATCCCCCGGGTGCTTTGTCAATTTTTAGAAAGTTTTTAAAAAAATGCTTTTTTCCAAAAATGTTCCTGAATTTCAAGCCATTATTAGTTTTAAATTTGAAATATTTTCGTAAATTTATAAATTTAGGGAAAAAAATTTCATAAAAAATTTTTTCTCCCAAAATTTTTGGGCCAGTGGTTAAGGCGTGGCTGAAATCCATTGGGGGCTCCCCCTAGGTTTCGAATCCACCGGCTGGAAAGTTTTAAATAAGATTATAGAAATTTTTTTTTTCACTGATGTTTTTTAAATTAAAATATATAATTGACCTTTAAAAAACGAAATTTAAAATTGGATTTACAAATTGCCATATTTATATTACATATATGAATTACACAGCGTGTGGGTAATGGTTAAAGGGGTGGCGAAAACTTGGGTCTCCCCCCGTAGGTTCGTTTTTACCGGATGCGAATTGTATATTTTTGAATGTTTTAAAAAAAACGTCATGTCTTTTTTTCACAGAATTTCCCTGAATTTTAAAAACCATTATTCAGTTTTAAAAAAGAATATATTTTATATAATTATAAATTTGGTAAGAAAAATACAGAAAAAATTGCTTTCCTCGACGCAGGGTTGGCCCATGGTTAAAACGATGGACTAGAAATCCATTGGGGCTTTCCCCCGTGGTTCAAATCCTACCGGCGCGTTTTCTAAATTTAGATCAAAAAGAGCCCAATGTCTTTTTTCGTAGAATGTATCCTGAATTTCATTAGCCTTTACAAAGTTTGAAGATATTTTACGAATTATACATCGGGGTTGGAATCTACATAAAAATTTCATTTAGCTCGGGCAGCTGTGGCCAGTGGTTAACGATGGACTTGAAATCGGGGTCTCCCCGCGTGGTTCGAATCCCCCGGCTGCGGGTTTAAAAAGAATGTTTAAAAAAGAATGTCTTTTTTTCCAAAAAAACCCTGTTTTAAAGCCATTATTCAGTTTTAAAACTTTAATATATTTTTAAATTTTAAATTTGGGAAGAAAATATACAAAAAAATTGCTTTTTTTCTCGAAGCAGCTGTGGGTGGTTAAAGGGGATGGACTAGAAATCCTGGGGTCTCCCCCCGTAGGTTCGAATCCTACCGGCTGCGAAAATTTTTAAAAAGTTAAAAAAAAAATTTTTCTTCACGATGTTTTTAAAAATTTAAAAATTTTTCTTTAAAAAAAAGAATATTAAAATTTTGGTTTAAAATTGATTTTATACATATATGTTACCGGTGTGGGGCCAAAAAGGGTTTAAAGGGGATGGACTTGAAATCATTGGGGTCTCCCCGCGTAGGTTCGTTTTTACCGGTGCAAGTTTTTTAGAAGTTTTTAAAAAAATTTCTTTTGAGTGTTTAAAATTTAATTATTCATTTTAAAAAACGAATAAAATTTTTACAAATTTAAATTTATAAAAAATATCAAAAAAAGTTTTTCCAGCGTGTGGCCAATGGTTAACGATGGACGAAATCCTTTTGGGGCTTTGCGGGTTCGAATCTACCGGTGCGATTTTTCAAAATTTTGAATGTTTTTAAAAAAAATGTCTTTTTTTGAAGAATTTCCCCGAATTTCAAAAGCCTTATTCAGTTTTTAAATTTGAAATATTTTTTCGGGAATTATAAATTTTTGGAAAAAAATTACATAAAAAAAATTCTTTTACTCGAAACGCTGTGGCCAGTGGTTAAGGCGATGGACTGAAATTCCCTTGGGGTCCCTCGCGTAAGTTCAAAACCTACCGGCTGCGAAGTTTTTAAATTTAAAATTTTTTCACTGAATGTTTTTTAAATTATATAAAATTTTAAATTGCCTTTAAAACAGAAATTTGAAAATTTTTACGTAAATTTCCATATTAATTACATAAAAACATAAAATGACACAGCGTTGGGGGCCAATTTGGGGATGGACTTGAAATCATTGGGGCTCCGGTAGGTTCGTTCCTCCGGTGCGATTTTATTTTAGAATGTTTTAAAAAAAAACTATGTCTTTTTGCCAGAATTTCCTGAATTTCAAAAGCCATTATTCGGGTTTAAAAACGAATATTTTTTAAATTTTAAATTTGGGAAAAAAATATACAGAAAAAATTGCTTTCCCCCAAAAAAGCTGTGGCCGAGTGGTTAAGGCGATGGACAAAACCATTGGGGTCTCCCCCCGTAGGTTCGAATCCCACCCGGGTGCAAATTTTTTAAAAAACGATTATGAAATTTTTCTTCACGATGTTTTTAAATATATATATATAATTGCCCCTTTTAAAAAAAAAAATGTTAAAATGTGGTTTTCAGATTGCCATATTTATATTACATATAAAAAACTTCCGCGTTGGGCCTAATGGTTAAGGGATGGACTTAAATAAATTGGGGTTTTCCGCTGGTTCGTTTTTTCCGGATGCGAAACTATTTTAGAATGTTTTAAAAAACACGTCATGTCTTTTTTTTGGAATGTTCCCTGAATTTCAAAAGCCCTTATTCAGTTTTAAAAAAGAATATATTTTACTATAATTATAAATTGTAAGAAATATACAGAAAAAAAATTTCTTTTCCCCCGAACAGCTGTGGCCAGTGGTTAAGGCGATGGGCTAAAAATCCGTTTGGGGGTTTCCCCGGGGGGTTCAATCCTCCGGCTGCGTTTTTAAAAATTTTGAAAGTTTTAAAAAGAAATTTTTTTTTACAGAATGTTCCTAATTTCAAAAGCCTTTTTCAGTTTTTAAAAATTTTAAATATTTTACGGGATTTTTAAATTTGAAAAAAATTACATAAAAAATTGCTTTTTACCAAACGGGGTTTGGGCCAGTGGTTAAAAGGGGATGGAAATAGAAATCCTTGGGGGCTCCCCGCGTAGGTTCGAATCTACCCGGGTGCGAAAGTTTTTAAATAACGATTATAGAAATTTTTTCTTCACTGGTTTTAAAATATATATATAATTGCACCTTTAAAAAAAACAGAAATTTAAAAAGGGATTTACAAATTTCCATATTTATTAATTTCATATCTTTAACTGTACACACTGTGGGCCTAATGGTTTAAAAGGGGATGGACTTAAAAAAATTTTGGGGTTTTCCCCCCTTTTTGGTTCGTTTTTTTACCGGATGAAATTGTACTATTTTGAATGTTTTAAAAAAAACGTCACTCTTTTTTCAAAGAATGTTCCCCAATTTCAAAGGCCTTTATTTAGGGTTTTAAAAAAATTTAAATATATTTTTACGGGAATTATAAAAATTTTAGTAAAAAAAAATATACAAAAAAAAAAATTGCTTTATTTCGACGCAGCTTTGGGCCAGTGGTTAAGGCGATGGACTTTGAAATCCATTGGGGGGGTCCCCCGGAAATTTCCCAATCCTTCCTGCTGCGATTTGTCTAAAATTTGGTGCTTTTAAAAAAGGCCTAATTTTCGTAGAATGTATCCTGAATTTCATTAGCCTTTTTTAAATTTTTTAAAATTTGGGGGAAGGAATATTTTACTGTAATTTACATCGAAATTAGGGAAAACTACATAAAAAAATTTTATTTAACTCCCGGGCAGCTGTGGCCAGTGGTTAAGGGGATGGACTTGAAATCCCCCGGGGTCTCCCCGCGTGGGGGTTTGAATCCTGCCGGCTGCGAATTGTAATATTTTAAAAATGCTTTAAAAAAAACTTGTCTTTTTTCACAGAATGTTCCGAATTTCAAAAAACCATTATTCAGTTTTAGAAACGAATATATTTTTTTTTAAAAAAAGTAAAGGGGAAAAAAAACGAAAAAATTTTTCTTTTTTCCCCCAAGCAGCTGTGGCCAGTAGTTAAAAGGGGATGGACTCGAAAGAAATCCCTTGGGGTCTGCGTGGGGTTTGAATCCTACCGGTACTTTTTCAATTTTAAATGTTTTAAAAAAGAAATTTTTTCTTGCGAAAGTTCCCTGAATTTCAAAACCATTATTCAGTTTTTAAAAACTTAAAAATATTTTCGTTAATTTTAAAAATTTTTGGGGAAAAAAAATATACATAAAAATTCTTTTTTTCCCCCGAAAACAAACTTTTTGGGGCCCGGGGGTTTTGGGGGGATTGGGAAACCCTTGGGGGCTCCCCGCGTAAAGGGTTTGAATCCCACCGGCTGCGAAAGTTTTTAAAAAACGTTAAGGGAAATTTTTTTTTACTGATGTTTTAAAATATATTTAAAAATTCCCCCTTTTAAAAAAAAGAAAAAAATTAAAAAGTGGTTTTCAGAAATTTCCATATTTTATTCAACCCCCCTGAACTTTCCGGGGTTTTGGGGGCCCAAGGTTTAAAGGGATGGACTTGAAAAACCCTTTTTGGGGCCCCGCGAAGGGTTCGTTTTTTTTCCGGATGCAATTTATATTTTAGAATGTTTTTAAAAAAAAACTCATGTCTTTTTTGCACAGAATGTTCCCTGAATTTCAAAAGCCATTATTCAGTTTTTAAAACGGTTTTTTTACTTTAAATTTTAAATTTAAGGGAAGGAAAAAATACAAAA